GATTTATCTTGATATTATTAAAAACCATTAATTATTAATTATTCTGTCTTATTTAATTTTTAAGTTAGATTTTATAAATTGTTATCCTAATTTATATTATTTTTGCTCATTCTCTCAGAATAATTTAATCTTTTTTATTTTAAATATAAATTAGTTAAAATTAACTTAAAAATAAAAACAAAAATTATAGTTTTATATTACTAACTTTAAGATTATAAAATAATCTATTTTATTTTATAATTTAAAAAAACTTAAATCAATTATAGTAATATTTTTATTTACATTATGTGATATACTATCTGTATGTTCCGAATTTTATATATTTTATTATATTTAATAAGCTGACATTAAATATTTTTATTTAAAAATATATAAAGTAAAAAATATAATATAATTTTAAATTTTATTTATAATTTTTGAAATAAAAAATAAAAAAAGAGATTGAAATAAAATATATATATATATAAATATATTAAATATATATATATTGATATAAATATATAAATTTATATTTATTTTATATATTTTTATGATTATTTATATATATAAATATAGAAATATATAAATATTTATTAAAAAATAATTAAATAAATAACAATAAAAATTTGTATTAATGTAATTTAGTATAAAATTGAATACATATATATAAAAATACTTTTAATATAATTTATACAATTTTTTTTATTTTTACATTTTTAATTGATAATTTATATATTAATTTTTGATTTATTATATTATTTTATATAATTTAAATAACAATTTTTTTTAACAAATCAATCATATCTTTTTTTTTAATATTATATACTTTTTAAAATTTGGTTTTTAAGATTATTAGTTTAATATAATTTGCTATTTTCACTTTTAGATCTTTAATATGTCTTTTGATTTTAATAAATATTATTTAAGTTTGTATTAATTTAAAAAGAATTATTTTTATAAAAATTTTATTATTATTTTTCTTTTGTTAAAAATTAACTAGAGATAAAGTCTTTTTTTAAGTTTACTTTATTCTGATTATTATTTTAATTCAAATCTTATTTACTTATTTAATCAGATTTTACAGCTTTATTTTTTATATTTTAATTATTTGAAAATGATATATTGTTATAAACTTAATTTATTGTTTTTATTGTATTATTATGTCTATTTTATTAAATAAATTGGTAATTTTATTTCTAATTTAATAATTCATTTTCTTTAATAAAAAAAGTAAATTAATTATTTAAACTAGTTTCTAATGCAATTTAATCTCCGCTTTAAGATTATTGATCTATAGCAGAAATACTATTTTCATAAAGACTATTATTCTAAATATTTATACTTTCTTTAGAAATTTCTTTAATGACATCTTATTAATTTCTATTATTTTTTATTTAGAATGTATTGTTTAAGTTATCAAAATCTTATTTAGATAATTTGTTAGAATTATTGTCTATAATTTTTGATAAATTACTTTTGTGTTCTTTGATTTCGCTTTAGTTACTTTATGTAAATGTATCCATTATTTTAAATATTTATTCCTTTAAAATATTTTAAGATTAATAGTATTATTATTTGGTTTATTCTTTTTATTTATATTTTTATTATAATCTTTAATAAAAAAATATTTTATTTTTATTTTTATATTTATTATAAAATATGAATGAAATTAATTTTTATTTACTAGTTTGTTATTAAGCAAAATACTAAACTAATTTAGAAATTACTTATAACCATATATTATCTTTGGTTTATCTTATTTTTAAATCCGATTAAGAAATTTATTCATGCGAAACATTTTACATAAGTTATTCAACAAAATATAACTTAAGCCTTTTTAAAATTTTTAAATATTATTTTTATTTGTTAATTAATACTATTCATGTTAAATAGAATTTTGGCCTAATATTTTAATGTTATCAACTACTAATTTAGCAATGCTTTATATTTTATTTACTATAATTGTCTAAGTGTCTTCTGGACTAATTTAATATGCTTAAATTTTATTTATTTCAAATTATTAAGGCTAGTTTAGAGGAAATTTTTCATTTATTTCTTAGTTAAAAAATTTATAAATATATTTATGTATTATTATAAAAAAATTACTTTATAATATTTATAGTCGATTTTTTTATATATTTTTAAGTTAAAAGTTTGTTTAATTCATAGCTTCATCAGTTTTTTATGAAATAAACTTAAAAAATTATGAATTAAATTTTTAAATGTTTATTATAACAATATTTTATGTTTTTAAATATATATTTTTTAAAATAAATTTTACTTAATTTAATTTTTATAGTAATTTCATTAAATAATCTATAATATGTACATATTTTTCTATTTGTTAATATAGTTATTAATTATACAATTCATAATTTTAATTAATTTTTATTTATTATTAAATTTGCTTTTGTAACTCTTTATTTTGGTTTTCCAAAATCTATATTTATTTGTCTTTTTTAGAATTCATGTTATTTTTAATTTTAATTATATTTTATATTTGATATATTTAATAATTTATAATAATAACAGAAAATATAAAAATTAGTTTGTAATAATTTTATTTATACTTTTTATCAATAAAGATAAGATAATTAAACCAAACTTAAAATAAATTTTTATTAACAAAGAATTTTATTTTTAGTTGATAATATATTTTATATTATTTAGTTTTATAAAATATAATAATTTTTATATGATATTATGATGTTATTCTAACATAAAACTAACAAAATCAAATATTTTTCTTTTCTACAAACATATTATTAATTTTAATATTATCTCTAATCTAAATATTAGAATGATTTCCTATTCTAAATGTGCTGTGTTTGCTTAATTATTTATTGTTTAAAAAAAGTTAGCTTTAACTTCTTATCTTATAATTAGCTTATGGTTTTTCAACATTCTATTAATTATTATTAAAAACAATATTATATACTTAATCAAGCATTTTTTCATTTGAAATAAATTGTTTAAACAAATCACTAAAAATAATTAAAAAATTAAAATAGTAATTAAATTATTTTATTTTTATTTAATTTACATTTTATCTACATTTTAAAAATCATTATAATTAATTAATAATTATTTATTAAATAATAATGGTTTTTTGCTATTCTATTGTTCAATTTTTCTTTATTAAATTTATTTTTTAACAGTATTTATACAATCTAGTAAAATAAACTCTAAGTCATTCTTTAATTCAAACTTCTCATTTAATTATTATTTATATTAATTGTGTTGATTTTTAAGTTAAATAATTTTGTTTCTTAATAATTTATTTTCCTATATAAATTTATCATTAAAAAGTATAAATTGTTAATTATCAATATCTTAAAAAGATGTTTAAATTATTTGTTCTTTTATTTATTTTTCCTATTCAATTTAATTCATTTGCTTTTTTTAATATAAATATAATAACTCTGTTTTTAGGTGTTTATTTTCTTTTGATTATTAAATAACTATTTATTAATATTATTCCAAATCTTCTTTTAAAATTATATTTTTATTAATTAAAGCAAGATTTTCAATTTCATATTTTTTACATAGTTAAAGTAATTTTTCAGATTCTGTTCGAAAATAATTTTTTTCTTATGTTAGAAATATTAATTTATTATTTGTTCTCAATTTATAGTCTTCGGTTTCTATTTAATTTTTCAGCTTTGCTAATTCTTTACTTAACGCTTTTATTTATTCTCTTTAGTTTGCTAAAAAGTCTCCTTCCAATTAAAATAGAATTTATTCAATTTTAAAATTTAAGTTTTATATAAAATCAATTAAAACTGAATAATTATCTTTAACTAATTTTGATACCAAATCTTCTTTCATTATCTTTTAGAATATAACTTTTATTTTTTTAATAATATAAACTTTCTATAAGTTTTTTGATGTTATTTTATGGATAATAAAATAAATAATTATATAAAAGCAATAATTGATTTTTTTTTTTTTTTATTATTTACTATTTTCATAATCTATATTTCCAACATTTTACATATTAATTTTTGTTTTGTTTTGTTTTAAGTATAAAAATTTATTTATTTTTATTAATTTTATATTATTAATTTATAAAAATAAATTAATTTATTTCTGCAATATTCTGAATGAAAAATTCGAAAGATTTAAAAATATAGGATATGAAAGTTCAAAGTAGGTTAAAATTTAATAAAAATATAAAAAAAGATAATAAATATTTTTTAAATGAGTCGGTTTTAGATTAAAAATTAGTATATAAATTAATAAAAAAAATAAAAAGAAATTAACAATAAATTATAATAAAAAAAAAATTAATAATTTATATATTATATATATTTTAAATATTATAATATTATTGTTGTTTTTATTTTTTTTTATATATTATTTGATATTATAATTTTCAAGTTTTTTATTATTTATATTTTGCTAAATTTTTCTGCTTTAATTCAATGTTATATTAATAAAAAAATCGTTAATTTAACAATAATTACAATATAGTTTTATGTAATTATTTTTAGAAAAATATGAATTTATATGTAAAATATTTAATTCATTTTTTTTGCTTTGTATTATTTTTTACTTTTATATATATGTTCATTAAATGATAAATTAAATCACATATATATATATAAAAAATATAATTATGTTTATTCAAAATACTTGTTATATTTTAATAATAAAATTTGCTATTTTAAACAAAAATATTTGTTATTTAACTTGTATATCTCAATATTTTATAAAATTATATATTTTTTAAATTTAAAGAAAATATTAAAAATAAAACAAAAAAATTATCAATAATTAATATAATTCTTTTTAAATATATAAAAATTATAACAATTTTAATTAATTATGAATCAATTAAATTAGTTTTGGAAAATGTTTTTAAGGCCAAATAGGTCTGAATATTAGATTGAAGATTTAGGTAAGATTTATTAAAATAAAAAAAAACTAAAATAAATATTGTTTATAAATAATATACACATATACATATTTTTAAAAAGGATTACCTGTATAGATATTTGGTTAATATAAATCAATAAGGAATGATTTTAGAGTATTTAATAAAAATCAAAAATACATTGAATGCTCTTTATTTACTCCAAAAATAAATAAAAGAGAAACCGTAGATGAAAAAGCCATTAATAAATTTAATGTAGTTATATATTGCCATTGTAATACAGGTTCGCGTATAGAATCATTATAATTACTCCCTCATCTTTTAAGTTTAGGAATAGGTGTATTCACTTTTGATTTTTCAGGAAGCGGTTTATCAGAAGGCGAATATGTAACTTTAGGTTACAATGAAAGTGAAGATTTGGAATGCATTATAAATTATCTTAAAAAGCAAGAATATATAAATAATATTATCTTGTGGGGTCGTAGTATGGGAGCCGTAACTACATTTTTATTTTTAACAAAACCTAATTGTATGCGATATGTAAAAGGTGTCGTCTTTGATAGTGGTTTTGCTAGTTTAAATTTTTTAGCATAGGAAGTAGCTAAATAAAAAACAGGAATGCCTAATTTACTTATTGATCCTGTTTTATCATATGTAGGCAATTCTATAAAAGAAAAATGCGGAATTAATATATTAAATATGGATATAACTAAATACATTCATAATATATATGTTCCATGCTATTTTGTATGCTCGAAAGAAGATAAATTTATTAACTGTGAACATACTGAATAGCTTTATAACAGATATAATGGACGAAAATGGATTGAATATGTATAAGGAGATCATAACGCATGTAGAAAAAAAGAAACTTTGATTAAAATTTCAAAATGGATATTTAATTTACTTGAAGAAAGTAACTAATCTGGGTGTAGAAAATAATTTAGTTTCCATGATTCAAGCTTACATTAAAACAATAATAATTAAACAAATTAAGAAATTGAAAAATCTATAAGTTCTATATTCTAAAATGATATCAATAAAGAAAATACAAAACCAAATAACTAAATTGATAATTAAGGATATAAAAACTGTATTAATAATTAAAAGAATGATAAAATATAATTAGATATTTTGCTAAAAAATAAACATATAGAAAATTCACCTAAGTAAATTATTTAAAGAATTTAATAAAACCATATTGTGAGCAAAAGTACCAGTTTTTCAAACTATTGCTTTGAATTAAATAAGAATTGTAATAATTTAACTCAAGATAAAAATAACTATTTAAATAAACATACTTTATATAGAAAACATCATAGATAATTTTCTTAATAAATAGATTCAGCTTTTTGTATATCAGAAGATTAATAAGATAATATAATAAATAATAATAAAATAATTAATAAAAATGATATAATTAATATATAAAATATACCAAAAAATATTAATAACATAATAATAAATATTGAAAATGAAGAAAAAAATGAAAGTGAAGAAGAATAAATTGCCACACCTACTTTTACTCCAAAAAAAAAAGAAAATGAATAAAAAGAAAAATAAAATTAAAAATAAGATTAAATATAAAATATTAGTGAATAAGAAAAAAACAATAATTAAAATTCTGTAAACAAGTTTTCTCGATCTTTTACTTCTGATTATACTTTTCCTAATTTTCCTAATTATTTAGTTGAAAAATATTTAAGTTAAAGAAATATTTAATTAAGACCAAAAATTAATACTGAAAAACAAAAAGATAATACTAATATTATTACAGAAGAATAGAATTATGCTAAATATTTGATATAGAATGACTCTTATAAAAAAAAGAAAGATTAAATAGATAGTCTAGAAATTAAAAAAAATGATATCTACTAAAAAAAGGTTATAGAAGAAAATAAAAAATATATAGAATAACTTTAAATTAAATATAAAATTAATCAAAATAGCATAAATTATTTAAGAAGTAGTGAAAACATATAAAGTCTATAAAACTTGATAGATATTAAATAAAATTCAAGCTAATTAATTTAATCTTGCGAATAAATTAAGTATTAAACAAAATAAAACTAATAAAACAATTTAAATAGAATCAATAATTCGTAAATTAACATTTCTTTAATATAAAAACATAATATAAATGAACAAAAAGATATATGACTTTTTATAAATAAATATTATTAATTAAATATAATAAATAAATTTTATATTTATGTTTTAACAATAAATAAGAAAAGCTAATAATTTTTATTTATCAGAAAAAATTTTAATATATAATTATTAAATTTTTAACAATATTTATTCATACCAAATAAATAATATGTATTATTAATAAAGTGAAACTTAATAAGCATTTTTTATAAATTAAACCATTTTTAGTAAAATTATATTCATAATTATAACTATATAGCCTTTTACTATTTACTTAAAGGATTTTTAGCTACATTAGGTAGTTTTTTAAAATATTATCTATATTTATTATTAAAATTGTTAACTAATCTTTCTTCAAATCTAACATTTTGCTCTATTGCATTCTTTTAATTAACTTCAAAAGTTTATTTGATAATATTCCATTCATTCCAAAAATTTTCTTCGTCTTTTTTGTCACCTTGCTTTGCAATATCTTCATATTTTTAATAGTATTTTTTTTTCATTAATTAATTTGATTTTTAATATAATTCATTCCATTCATTGTATTTTTTAAGTAGATGTTCTTGATAAACTTCTTTTATAAATTGCTTTTGTTATTAATTTTGATTTTCCAAAGTTTATTTAAAAGTATAATGAGTCATATTTAATGTTAAACCTCCTAAAGATTATACTTTTGTTGGAGTTTTCTTATTCTTAAATAGAATTGTCTTCTAAAAATTAGAATTGTTGATAAAATCTTCATTCGAATTCATATTTTCATTATTATCTAATGTCATTAATACTTTGTTATTTAATGAACATTATGGCGTACGAAAAGGTTTGTTTATTGTTTAAAGTGCTTTTTTAGATATTATTGAGGCTTAATAACCTGCTGGAAAAACCATTTTATGTTAAGGACTTTATAAGGTTTATGAATTATAATTTTTACTTCTATTTCTTTTTTTATATCTTTAAATAATTATAATCCTTTATCTGTTATTATAAATCTATTAAATTAACTATTCATTTTATTATCTTTAAATATTTAATAAGTTTTTTTTATTTTATTGTTTAAAACAAATATACTGCAATTATATTTATACATATAAAAATGACAATTTATAATATATTTTAATTTCTTATATTATTAAAAAAATAATATACTATAAAACTATAAGTTAGAAAGTATTATTTTTTGAGGACATATATATCCGATTTTTTATTATTTTACAAATTTTTATACATGAGAATAAAGTTATCTAAGATCGAAATCATATAATTTTATTTTTATATTATATTTAAGTTATAAATATAGCGTAATAATATTGGCGATACAAAAATTATATAAAAAATTGTGTTTATATAATATTAACTTATTATTATAAAATATGATTTTTGCTAATATTTTAGGTTATAAATATATTATTTAATATTTATGTATAAATATATTAAAATTTTTTATTAACTGAAAATAAAAAATTAATATACTTTTGAAAAAAGATAAAATAAAAAATTTTAAGAGTTGAGATGTAAAAAAAAATACATTAAAAAAATTTTGAAAGGGGAATGATTATTAGTATGAATTTATAGTAATAAAAAAGTTTATAAATAATCTTGTAAATATAAAATATAATATTAAATTACAAAACAATTTATATATAAATAATACATCTTTATCTTAAAAATTCTATATTTTAATTAAAATAAAAAATTAAAAATAAATAAATATAAAATTACTAATAAAATAAAAAAATTAAACTAATAATCAATTTAAAATGAATGAAAAAGCTTTAATAATAAAAAATTTAAAAACGAAATACAAACATATAATATATTTATAAATAAATATAATATGCTAAATAAATCATAAATTATAAAAAAATCATTTAAAACTTTTTTTATATCCACCACCACCTCTATTGTTTCCGCCAAAAGATCCTCCTCTTCCTCCACCAAAAGAGTTTCCTTTTCCACCTCTTCCTCCTCTTTAAAAACCACCACCTCTTTGGCCTCCTCCTCTTCCAAATGAGCTTCCTCCACCTCTTTGTCCGCCTGATCTTCCTCCTTAAGCCCTTGGTTTCCCTAAGAATCTATCTACTGGTAGTAAGTCATCATATCCCATATAAAATTAATCTCCGACCTTGTAAGAATCTGGAGTTATTCCTTTTTCTAGTTTAACAGAATAAAAGAATTTTTCAATAGGCCCAAAAATTTCATCAACTGTACCAATTTTAGTTTTGTTTTATAAATAAATTCCTCTATTAAATTTAGGTACTTTGCTTGTATTTGTTGCTTTTACAATTATTTGATCTCCGCATGAATGAGAATATTCACACATAGGATCTACTTTTTCAGGTGGACCTTAATCATATTATTATCTTCCTCCTCTAAAACCAGGTCTCCCTCCTTTTTAAAATCCGCCACCATTGCCACCTCTTGAAGCAAAATCTTTTTTTATATAACCACCTTATTTAAAGTCCTTTTTTGGAGGAGTACTTTGAGATTTGAAATCTTTTACCATTTTTTTTATATCAATTTATATTTTGTTTTAATATTATTATTTATTTTTTTAATCTTAATTATATTTTTTAGTTTTAAATTATTTTTGGATTTTTAATATTTTCTTATATTAAGCTCTTTAAAATTAATATTTTTTTTATTTTAGAATAAATATATTATGAATTTATTTAAAACATAAATGGTATTTATAAATTTGAATAAATATTAGATTTTTTTTTTTTAAATAAATAATTTTAAATATAAAGAAATTAATTTATTTTAATCATCAGTTTTTTTTTTTTTTTTTGATACTTATTTTAATGAATTTAGAGTTAGTTAAAATACAATTATAATTCGATATTTATATTTTTTTTTATTAGTTAAAAATCAAAATTAATTTATAATAAAATACAATTATATATAATTTATTTTAAATCGGTATATATAAATTTTTTTTCGATAAGTTAATAAGGAAGCATAATTTAATATATAAATAAAATTAAAATAAATACGAAAAAACATTTATAATAATGTATAAAATAATTTATAATAAAACATCATTAGATAAAATTAGTTTACTATTTCAAAAAAAAAGAAGATATTTTTGGGTGAGTTTATTTTCAAGATTTTTAGATGCAAGGAATTTTAAGTTTGACAAAAAAAAGTTTAACATACAAATTTTTAATATTTTCTATATTTAATTTTTATTTTTATGTTATATTTGTTTAAATATACCGTATTTGATTAAATCTATAAAAAATTAATTTTCTTAATTTTGAGGCTGACTTTATGATTAAAAAAACAAATCTAAAAGAGGAGCTTATATTTTAATCTTTATTACATATATTTTAAAGCCATATTTCATTTACTTAAATATTATAAAATAAAAATAAAGTATGTTTAATTATAGTTATTATTTATTGAATTTTAAAATAAACAAAATCGTCAAATAATAAAGGAAAATCTATATATACATTTATTTAAAATAATAAAATAAAGTGATGCTTCTATTTTCTAATTTTCTTATATAAATATGAGGGGGATGGTGAAAATTATTTAACAAATGCATTAATTTCTATTTTATCAATATAATGCATTTTTTTTTTGTTGAGAAATATTTTTTTATAAATAATTTAATTAATATTTTTCGCGTGTAAAAATAAATAATATTTTTATTAATTTATAAAATATAAAAATTTTAATATTCTAAAAATTATTTTAATTTATATAAATACTGATTTTCACTATTTTGTAAAAAATTATAATTGATAGAAAGTAACTGTGTCTAAAATATAAAAATATCAGATTAGGATATCTATTTAAATAAGAAAAATAATAAGTTTCCAGTCAGATTATTTAAAAAGCTTATATTTATGTACTCAAATACATATCACAAGCTTTTTACAATTTCATAAAGAATTATATTACCCTATTATTTTTTATTTTTTTTCTATAAACTTAGAAAAATGGTAATAGCCTTTTTTTTTTGAATTTTTTGAAAAAAAATATTTAATTTATTAAAATAATATAGTGAGTTTTACCGTTATTTAATAATATTTGAGTTAAGATCAGAATTAATGTTTAGTATTAAGAATATAATCATAATATTTAATAAATTTTGAATAAAAAATGAGTGATTAAAACACTTTTTTAAATATTTTAAAACTTTTTATGAAAGGAGGATGGGGAAATCTAAAGGATATGTTATAATAACATAATTAAAAAATTCTTAAATTATATATTTTTATTTTTCCAAATATTGTATTATTTTATTTAAATTTTTTCCATATAATACATGTTAAATATCGCAGTATCACTGAAACTAGTACTTATTATATTAGATATACAATAAACATTTATTAGAATTTTGACCTAATACTATTTCAAATATTACGTCTATAATTTTTTATATTCACTTTTATTATAATAATGATTAAAATAAATAATATTCGATTATTTGTGTTATCCTATCATATAATAAGAGGCTATATAGAAAATTTTCATGGTTTTTAATGTATATAATAGTATAAATTATAAATATATTATTACAATTATTTAAGTAATTATTAAAACTATCATGTGTTCCAATAATCAAGGATATTAATTCTAATATAATTTTATATTATTATTAGCCATCCAGCAAGATGAAATTTTAAGAACACGGTAGAAAATATGCTTAATCCAAAATATTTTTTTTCGAATTTTAAAAAGGGATAATTTTTAGGATAAATTCATTTAAATATGAATACGATAATGAAAGTTTTACTGATTTTATTAAAAAATTATTTTTTTAATAATTAAAGTAGGCTTTTAAAATTTTTTAATATAATATTTAATATTATACACTATTTATTTGTTTTTAAATTTAATGATATTTTTAATTAATATAGTTTTTTTTCAATAATACTAATTATTTTTTATTTATCTAAGATATGTTTTTTTCATACAATAAATTTAGAAGATTTTCTATAATTTAGAGTCTTTTATAAATTATAAAGCATTTATATTTTTAGATTAGTTTGATTTTATATCAAAAATATTAATAATAATTTAATTAAATTTAATAAACTAGATGATAAAGTATAAATACTTTTCGAAAATGAATTAGAACAATATAAATAAGAAAAAATCTATATTCGCGAACTATTTTAAATCTTTATTATATTTTTTTTTTTAAAAAAAAAAAACTATTTATTAATAATACAAATATGTTCCGAAAATAATATTTTAGTTATAAATATATTTTTAACTTTTTTTTTTTAAAAAAAAATTGAGGTTGATTATTTAAAAACAAAAATTCGCTTGTTCTTAGGTGTTCTAACATAAGAATTTTTGTTATAATAAAATTTAGAAAACATATAAAATTAAATAATATCAAATAATTATCTAACACTTTTTAAATTTATAATAAAAAAAATACATTTAATATGTATTTTCTATAATTACATTTATTATTTATAATATTTTTAACTAAATTATTTATATTATTTATAATTTTTTAAATATATATATATATATATATATATATATATATATATATATATATATATATATATATATATATATATATAAAAGCTTAATTAATATTAATAATAAAAAGTAAATAAAAGAAAAATGGCAAATAGAGAAGATTTTAGATTGAAATTTGCAGAATTAGATGGTTTAAGAGATGAAAATAAGAAAAATTAATCAAGAATACAAATAACAGAAAATGAAAAAATGAAAAATTCCAAAACTATAATAATGAATTTAGAAGATCATACAATAGGTAATTTGATAAGAATGTATTTATTAAAAAGTAAAGAAGTTAAATTTGCTGGATATAGGATGCCCCATCCTTTGGAAACAAAAGTAGAAATTAAAGTATAAACTGTAAAAGATAACACTTGCGAAATTCTAATAAATACTTTAGATGGCCTTATTAAAGATATTGACATTATATAATATGATTTTGAAAAGCAAGCAAAATAATAATGGGATAAGGCATATTGACATTTCATAATCATTTTAGTTTAAATTAAATAACTTATATGCATTTATATGAATATTAAAAAATATATTAATTTTATATAATTAACTTTATTTTTAAAAATTTTTAAGTTTTTTACTTTTGAATATTATACATTTACAAACATTTATATTATATAATAAATTTATTTTTACATTATAGAAAAATCTTTAATTATCAATTTATTTTTCAATTTTTTCTTTAAATAAATGAATTTTGAAAGCATTTAATAAATTAAAGTGAAATTAATAAAAAATTGCTTTTTTTAATAGGATATATTGAAAATTTATAAAAAAAAAAAAAGAAGAAAACTTAAATAAAATTAATATTAAAAAATATATATTTAAAAAAAAAATATTTATTTTTTTGAAAAATGGATAGAAAATTATCAACATCAAGTGATAACGAAGAAGAAAGTGATATTGATAATAATGATTAGAACTAAGCTGAGGACGATATATAATAAAAATAAGAAGTATAAATTAATATAAGAATTTAATAAAATAATATTTAATTTTTATTATTTATTTTTTTTAATTAAGGAATAAGTCTATGAAATTGATTTTAAAAATTTATCGCCTCATGCGTGTGAGTAAATAAGATAAATAAATAAATAAATATTAATTTAATCAATTATAGGTATTGTGGAATTCATTAAAAAGAGAGTGTTGTAAAATGTGTAAATAAAGATTGCAATAAAGTTAAATAATCATATAATCAAATTAAATACATATTTTAATTTAATTTATTGTTAATTAGTGGTTTTGTAACGGAAAATAATAAGGTCAAAGTGCTTCGCATATAGTAATGCATTTAGTAAAATCTAAGCATAAAGTAAAACTATTTTATATTTGTATTATAAATTTATATAAATAATTATAATATTATTTATAACTATGTTTTTATAAAAAAACTTTTTTTTTATAAAATTCTATTTTAAATATATTAAAATTTAAAGGAAGTTTAATTACACCCAGATAGTCCTTAATATGATACTGCAATAGAATGTTATATTTGTGAAAATAAAAATATATATTTGCTTGGATTAGTGCATTTAAAAAATAATGAAGAATAGGTATTGAAATATATTTTTTAAATTAAAATTAAAAAAGGGTTTAATTATATGCAGGCAACCTTGTTTAAATTAAAAAAGATATGGCGATATGGTTTGGGAAATAGAAAAGTGGAATCCTTTAATAGATGAAAAAGTTCTTGTAAATTGGCTTGTTCCATCACCAAGTGTAAAATAAATGTAAAAGGGATTTTAAGCTACTTAAAAATAAATTTTTGAATATGAAGAACAAATTAAAACAAATCCAAATTATAAAGTAATAAATAAATAAAAATTCTAAAATAATAAACAAAAAAGTTAGCTTAAGGAGCATTATAAGGTTAAACTAAAAAGTTAAAATAAGTACTACTTAGATATAAAAATGGAAAACATTATTTTTAAACTTTTTACGATTTAATTGAAGCTGAAGCAAATTACGATTAAAGTTTAAAAGAAAAACTTCATTATAATAGTATATCAGTAAGATGGGATACATCTTTAAAAAATCGAAAAGTAGCCTATGTAATTCTTCCTTAAGGAGAAGAAAATGAATTTAACTTACTTAGTGGTTCCGAATTAAAAATAATTTATAAGAAAATGAAAAAAGAAGCGAATGAAGAAGATTGGATTGCTAAAGGAACAATAGTAAAAGTTGGTTAAAATGATGAAGTAGTAATTGAATTAAGTCATCATGTAAAGGAGACTCCTCCTTCAGGGAAAGGATATACAATAGAGTTTGTATGGAAACATACTGCAGTTAAAAGAATTAAAAAAGGAATAAAAAAATTTTGGTAAGATGAATAATGTATAAGTTCATTCCTTTATTTTTCGATTCTTGGACATTAAAATTAAGAGGATATGCCCACTCTAACTATTGATTTGCCTTAAACATATTCACTTCCAAATATGCCAGAATTAAACTATTATTAAGTTGAAGCTGTTAAAAAAGCTCTTTAATAACCCCTTTGTTTAATCTAAGGACCTCCTGGAACAGGAAAAACATTTACAAGTACAGCCATAATTTATCATTTGGTTTAGAATATAAAAAGAACAGGGTAAAGAGGGTAAATATTAGTTTGTGCACCTTCAAATATAGTAGTTGATTAATTAGCAGAAAGAATGCATTACGCAGGGCTTAAAGTAGTTCGAATGTGTTCAAAATCTAGAGAAATGGTTTCTTCTAGTGTAGAGTTTTTAACTCTTCATAATCAAGTTAGAAGCTTAGGTCATGGGGAATATGAAGAAATGTAAAAATTACTTACTCTAATGGAAGATTAAGGAGAATTAGATCATTAAGATGAGGATGTCTATTATTCACTCAAGAGATAAGGAGAAAAAGAAATCTTATAAAATGCAGAAGTTATATGTTCAACATGTATTTCATCTGCAGATCCAAGACTTAAAGAATTCAGATTCAAACATGTCCTGATTGATGAAGCCACTCAAGCTATTGAACCTGAATGTTTGCTTCCTCTATTAAAAGGAGCTAAGCATGTAATATTTTTTTCTTTTTTTTTAATTTATAAATTGAAATAAATAAGGCGATTTTGGTTGGAGATCATAGGTAATTGGGACCTGTGGTTACTTGCAGAGATACTGCTAATGCAGGATTAAATAAAAGTTTGTTTGAAAGGTTAGTCAGTATGGGTGTTAGACCTACTAGATTATAAGTTTAATATAGAATGCATCCTGATTTATCTATTTTCCCTTCTAATACATTTTATGAAGGAACACTTTTAAATGGTGTTACTTTTAATGATAGGCAGTTTCATGGAGACTTTCCATGGCCAAATAAAAGTAAAAAAATAATAAATATATAAAAACTTATATATTAATATTATTTTAAAATAAGATAAGCCTTTGATGTTTTTAAACTCTTGTGGAGTAGAAGAAATATCATCAAGTGGTACTAGTTATTTAAACAGATAAGAAACTATGTTAATAGAAGAAATTGTTTATAAACTTATAAAAGGAAAAGTGAGACCAGATTAAATAGGAATTATTACTCCTTATAAAGGATAACGTTTCTATATTGGAGATTATTTGTAGAAGAATGGAAAATTAAATCCGACATTATATTAAGAAATTGAGGTTTTTTTTTATTTTAAATGTAAAAAATAATGATTATTTTATATTTAATAGTGTTGTTCTGTCGATGGTTTCTAAGGTAGAGAAAAAGACTATATCATTATATCATGTGTAAGGAGTAATGAAAGTTAAGGAATAGGATTTTTGACAGATGCGAGAAGGCTTAATGTGGCTATAACGAGAGCAAGATATGGTTTAATAATAGTTGGAAATGCTAAAGTTTTAGCAAGAGACAATCTTTGGAATAATTTGTTAAATTTTATGAAAGAAAGTAAGGTTTTGGTTGATGGAAATTTAAACGATTTACGATAATGTAATTTGAAATTTAGGCCATCTTAAAAATATGTGCCTGAAAGATCTGACTTTTAGAAAAACAATGATGAAAATGATGATGCTAGGTCAACAATAAGTTATAGAAATGGTAAAAAAAATTATTTTTTATATTAATTATATTAAATTTTTTAAAAATAAAGATAATATTAATAATTTTGATAATGAACTACCTATTGGGTAGGGTTTTAGAAATAGTGAGTTTGGATTTAATAAAATACCTAATATGGCTCAATTTAAAAAAATTTAAAAAGACATAACACTTAATAACATATAAAATATTGGAGAGTTAATTATTATTGGAGATAAAGATGAATTTTATACAGGATAATAAATAAAAATGAACTAAGATAAAATATAAGAATAAACCAATTTTATTCAAGAATAAAAATATGAAGAAGAATAAAATTAATAATCAAATAAAAAAGCAAAAACTTAAGAAAAATAATTTAGTTATGGTATTGGAGAATTTAGTCTAGGGGCATAAAAGTATAATTAATTTGATTTAGATTTTTAAGATGATTTCAAATGAAAAAAAAATTATTATAATAAATATATATTTAATTTTTTATTTAATATCTAAAAGTTTAAAATAAATAAGTTTTATATACATTTATATGTTTCACTTTTTACATTATTATCTATAAATTTCTTTAATATGACAATAAAATATCATTTATTGTAATTCTTATAAATATTATACCCAATATTATTTGGTGAGCATTCTTTATTAAGATTAGTAGCTTTTTTTGTTTAAATATTATATCCATATTTGGCAACTTAATAAGAACTTTTTTAAACATTATTCTATAAATTAGGAAGATTTGGTGATTATTATGCTTGTCTTTTATTTATATTATTTGAATATTAATTATTCAAAATTGGACTAATTTAATTAGTTTATTTATTATTTGGGGGAGGTGATATTTATTATTTTTTTAATACGATTTTTTTTTAAAGAATTTATGTATTTAGCTAGGATGTTAATTTTGGAGAAGATGACTACTTTTAAATATTTGATAATAAATAAATAGAATTAACTTATGTATTAGTTTTAATTAAATTCTAATCAGGTGGGGAATATTATCTATTTTAATTAGAAAACAACTATTATGAAAATAACAACTAATATTATTATTATTATTATTATTATTATTATTATTATTATTATTATTATTCCTTATTTTATTATTATTATTATTCCTTATTTTATTATTATTATTATATTTTTTGTATAAATAGTTCATTTTTTACATTGTTTACTTTTATTTATTCATCTTATAATTATTTATTTTTATTTTATTATTAATTATTGTTTTGTAAAGGTAAAGGTGATATATTTTGTTATCTTTTTGACTTTTTTTTTTAAATATATTTTTTTTATTTTATTATAAATATACTTATTATTTAATAGAATTTTCTTTTGTATTTTCTAAAGATTTTAATGCTTGTTGAACTGGATTTGTTTGTACTTCATTTTATCTATTAAATTCATAACCATAAAAGTTTCTATCAACATTTATATTTTTTACTTTTGAATCATCAAATCCCCATCCTTCGCCTTCTTCTTCAAATTTATCAAAATTCGAGACATCATCAGGTCCTTTTAACTTTATTATTATTATTAAATAAAATATAAAATAACTATATATTTTTTTATTTTTTTTTATTAAATACATCAGGAATAAAAGGAGCTGTTTTTTCTCTAATATTTTTCCATGAAATTCCTTGAAAGAATGGATGTATTCTTATTTCTGTAAATCCATTTCTACCTAGTCTTTCCGAAGGATCAGTAATTAATTTTCTAATTAAGTCTTAAGCAGAATCACTTATATTTGCATCGTTAGGTATAAAAAATGTTTTTTACCAATTAATAATTTTCTAACATGTTATGTGAGGTTCTTCACTATAAAAAGGTGGGTAACCAATTAACATTTCGAATAGAATCACTCCAACACTCCACCAATCTACTGTTTCTGTATAACCTTCTTATCCAAAAACTTCTGGGGCTATATAATCTGGGGTTCCTACTGTTGAGAAAGCCAACTTTTTTTCAATAAAATAATTTTTTTTTTTTAAAAAAAAAATACTTTTCTATTCTTTTTATGGTTAACTGGTCTTTTAGTCAATAAAACTTTAGGATCTAATTTTACTGCTTCAACATTATTTATTTTCTTTCCAAATGATATCAAAGGTTTAATCTCCTTTATTTATTTTAATATAAATATATACTTTATTTTTTTAAATAAAAATATTGATAAAATTACTGTTTATTTACACAAACCAAAATCTGATAATTAAATATGCCCATCAGCACCAATCAATATATTATCCGGTTTTAAATCTCTGTGTATATAGTTCATTTTATGTACTGAATCAATTGCTAATATTATTTCAGCAATGTAAAATTTTGCTTCTTCTTCAGTAAAAACATCCTTTTTTATCAACAGATTCATTAAATCTATAATTTTATTTTATTTAAAAAAAAAAAAAAAACATTTAAAAATGATTTTTAAATATTTTAAAAAAATACCTCCTCCAGCTTAATAATTCATAACTAAATATAAAAACTTACCATCTTAAAAAGAATATTTTAACTCCACTATCCAAAGATTACCTGTAGTAGATAAAACATCTCTTTCAGCTCTTACGTGTCCGATTTATGTTTTTTGACACATTTCGCTTTTAGACATTTTTTTAATTGCAACTATTTCTTTTGTTTCCTTATCTCTACAAACTCTAACTTCTCCAAAAGCACCTTTTCCTATAATACTTAAAGATTCAAAATCTTTAGTTGTTTTTTTTTTTCGTCTTTTTTTTTAAAAAATAATATTTAAAAAATAAATATTTATTTTTATAAATAAATACGATTTTCTTAATAATTCAGATTCTTTTTATAAAACATCTTTTGTAATTAGCATTTGCTCTTCTTATGAAAATTGCATTTATTGCATTTTTTTATTTAGTTCATTCCAATATTCTTTATTTTCCAAATCTTTTTAAAGCATTCTTGCATATTTTCCTTTTTAAAATAATTTTATTTAATATTAAATTATATAAGTTTTTACTTTCAATAAAAGCTTTTGCTGCTTCACTTCTATCTTTAGTAGCTGCTGATATAGTAATATTATCTTTTTTTATTATTTACTGTTATTTTATTTATTAATGAATAATTTAAGCTTATTATTGCTATTATTATTAAAATAAAAGGATTTATTATAATAATAATTGCTATTACTGTTATAATTCTTACTAATCAATATTTTATTAATTTTATTTCTTTTAATTTAGTTATGATTATTATTGCAGTTATAGCATTTAATGCTTTTATAAAAGCAATTAAAATTAAACTTTCTAATCCAATAATTACTCTTGTGCTTGTTATTACATATACTTTTTTTTACTTTATTATTTATAAAGAAAAACTAAAAATACTTGAAATAATTTTTTATTAAATAGATAAAAAGAAATTTAAAAAAAACAAAATTTAAAAAAAAACAAAAATATTAATTATAAATATTAATATACTATATCATATATAATTTTAATTATATTTTTAAATGATCATCATCTAAATAATTATCATTTTCTTCATTGAATTAGGATCTTTGGATATTTTTTGGCGCTTTATGAAATTTTTAGTAAGTTATTTTATAAGGATTTTTCTTATTATTCGAGTTTCAAATAATAATATATTAAGTCCTTTTATAATTTTTCATCCATATAAGCTTTACCTTGTTATAAATTACCATATTTGTAAGAAACCTTAAAAACAGAGAATAATAAATATTATTTTTTTATTTAATTAAATTAAAAATCATTTATCTCAAATCATATTTTATTGCTTATCTAAATTAGGATGATTACCACTTACACAGTAATTAGCAAATTAATATTAAAATTCAGATTTCCATTTTTTTTTATTACTATATTATTATGAGTAATTTGTAATTAATTCTTTTATATTTCTTATTTTCCTTCAAGATACTCTATCTACATAATCAGTCTATTGAATTATTTTGATATAAAGTACTTCTTTTCCTATAATAATGTTTGGTTTTTTAAATCAACTATTTTTTTTGTTATTAAGTATAACTTTATGCCTATTATTACATATACTCAATTTACTTCTTATCATACTAATAATTATAATTACTTGTCATAAATATATTATTTTATTCATCAAACAACTTATGATAATGGGCACTCGTTTATCTTTATTTTATAGGCAATCTTTTTTATCTTATAAATCATGCTAAATAGGCTTTTTATAATATTTTATCTTATTATAAATATTTATTGTATGTCCATATTAACCTAACTTAAAAGGATTATTCTTAAATTATAAAGATTTTTTTTATTTAAACCATCTTTTGAGTATAGAGTATGTGGCAGATACTTTATTTAGTAAGTTTTATTATTTGGCTAGTTATAATTATCAAGTAAAAGAGGACTATTTTTAATACTAACTTTTTGTATAGTTTTTAATCTTGAGTAAATTTTATTTCTATTATTTATTTATATGAAATAAGTTGATTTTGTTATATGGATTTTCTTTTTTCAAGTTTTTATTATTTATTTATTATAAATCAATGATTTGCTAATATTATATCTCTTTATTTTTTAGTATTTAATTTAAAATCAATATAAAGTTTTTTTTTTTGGTTTCTAATATAAATAAAAAAAATGTAATTTTGTTTAATTGATAGACATATTAAACAAAGACAGACATAAAAGAAATTAAAATTTTATAATATTTTTAAATGGATAATTACCTAATATAAAATGAGTTACTATTAAGCTTTTTTTTAATATTCATTTATATAAAATCACTTATCATTTTTTTTTTTAATTTATAGATAAAGATTTATATAAATTATGATAAAATAAAAACAAATATATTATAAAAAAATTAGTTTTTTTAAAAAATATACTTTATTTATTAAATTATAAGCCTCCTTAAAAATTTAATCAAAGAGAAAAATTATTAATAGAATACTTAAAAATAACACTTTAAAACAAAAAAATAATATTAAATAATGATTTTTTCCTTAAATTTATATTAATATTTTATTAAAGAAAATATAATAATAAAGAATCCTATAAATAATTAATATTTGGGTGTTTTTATAGCTTTATATATATTTTTAATTTATTTTTTCAAAATAAATTAAAAATAGTTTTTTATTTTTTTCTCCGAATTCATTTAATGATGTAATAATTCCTTGACTTTTTTCAACTTAATCTAAATAGCTACTATATAAATTTTAATACTCATAAACGAATTCAGCAATTTGCGAAACCTTTAATGTCTAAAGCTATTAGTTTATAAATTAAGCATTATCAACACTATTAATCATAATTTTATTTAAATTTTCCATTTATTTTTTTATTTTTAAAAGCATTTATATACATTATTAACTACTTAATTATTTATTTATTTAAGTTTTTTCGAAAATATCTAAATATCCTAATTCTTTATATTTAACATAATTTTCATGATATAGTTTATCAAATAAATGCTCATCAATTTTTAGTTTTTTTGCATCAATATCATCAATAAACTCTAAAGCACTTTAATATGAAGCTAAATAATATTCATCTGCTCCTTTCATCCTCCATGTGCATCTATAATCTTTTATAAATTATAAATTTGAAAATGGTAATTCTGGTTTGTATTAAATTAGTAGATATATTAAAAATGGTAAGAACTAATCAGCACCAATCCTTGTATTTATGTATGTTTCTTGCAATATTTCTTATTTTTTTTAATTTTAATTTTACTCATGTATATATATATATATATATATATATATTAATAATATATATATTATATATATTATATATATATATATTATTATNTATAT